TAAACAAAAAATAGATAAACACGTTATTTGAAATAAACTGTGGTTCACACTAATCAATCTTACATGCCCAAATATCCTCACACATCAAACGTAAGGAACATTATTTACAGCCAATGTGCAGAATATATATTGTACTGCTGAAATATGTATAAATTAAAGTTCCTTTTGACTAAAGAAGACCCTTTAAAGTAATACACTTGACCAGCAACAATAATCAGTGTACAACTTCAGTAAGCTTTATGTATTAAACCTTCAAAATATTAATTAGGTCTATGATGATTTGCTTTTGAGAACTCTGTTTTTTTTTTTTTTGTTAAGACATCTGAACAACTTGGGATAGATTAACTAACTAACCCAAACTTAATTGTTTCTTAGCTTTTGAATCTGTCGGTTAGGTCTTCTTCTCCATCACCAACAGATTTGATTTTCTCTCTGACAAGTTGACAAAGCTAAATATGTCTTTTTTTCACTTTCTCTCTCTGTTTTTGCAAACACAAGAAAAAAAAAAAATATTTATTATTACCCAATTTTGGTTCCTTAATTCTCTCTCTTGCTGTTTATGCGGTTGTGTTTTGCAGCTTCTTTTACCTCTCTCTTTCAGAAGAAGACTCAAAAAAACAAAAAAAAAAGTATCCTTTTTCTTTTAATAATTTTGTCATGTGATTGATTTTGTTTTCTTTTTCTCTTTCCCTCCTTTTTTTTCATTGTCTTCTTTGTTCTTTTGTCTGCAATTCCATTTCATCTTTTTGGCCTAATGAGGGGTTAATTCCCCAATATTAGACGCGTTTCCTAATCAGGAAACGATTTTTATAACAAATGGGTTGCATCAGCTCCAAGAATGTCTCATGTCTGGCGGACCAGAGTGTCTCACCGGTCCAAGAACACGATCCGGAACCGGACTTCTCCTCTACGAACCAGCAACATCGAGTTTTGGTTGATCATTCGTTGGAGGGGAGTCAGAATAACAAGCGGTCAAGGAAATCGAGAAGATTGGGCGGTTCTGATTTAAGGATTGGTGCAAGCCTCATTTCCGGATTGTCTCATAAGAACATAGAAGCTGAGCAAGCCGCTGCTGGTTGGCCGTCTTGGCTTTGTTCTGCTGCGGCTGAGGCTGTCCACGGTTGGGTTCCTTTAAAGGCAGAGGCGTTTCAGAAGTTGGAGAAGGTAAAGATATGGTTTCTTGTGAAAAAAGTTACCAAACAAACTAACATGTGGTTTTGTTTTTTTTTTAATAGAATTGTCCGATTTTGGATGCATTGATATAAAGACTTTGTGTTTGTGTGTTTAGATTGGACAAGGAACATATAGTAGCGTGTTTCGAGCACGAGAAGTAGGAACGGGGAAAATGGTGGCTTTGAAGAAGGTAAAATTTGATAATCTTCAACCAGAGAGCATTAGGTTCATGGCAAGAGAGATTCTTATTTTGCGCAAACTCAACCATCCTAACATCATGAAACTTGAGGGCATAGTCACGTCTCGGACATCCAGCAGCATTTATCTTGTTTTCGAGTACATGGAACATGATCTTGCCGGTTTGTCCTCTAATCCCGACATTAGATTTACCGAGTCACAGGTATAAAACCGGAAATTTGTGAACACCAATCAAGTTAATTTGAGTCTTTTGTATTCTCTGATATTGAATCGATTGTTTATTTGATTCTTGTATACAAGATCAAATGTTACATGAAGCAACTACTTTGGGGACTAGAGCATTGTCATATGCGAGGCGTAATACATAGAGACATTAAGGCATCAAACATCTTGGTGAATAACAAAGGAGTCTTAAAGCTTGCAGACTTTGGGCTAGCAAATGTGGTCACACCTAAGAACAAAAACAATTTGACAAGCCGTGTGGTGACCTTGTGGTATCGAGCTCCTGAGCTTCTTATGGGATCTACTAGTTATGGAGTATCTGTCGATTTGTGGAGTGTGGGATGTGTTTTTGCTGAGATTCTCATGGGAAAACCAATCCTTAAAGGCAGAACCGAGGTAATAGAATCTGACTTACAATGGGATTGATCGTATATCTTGTTTTCTTTCTTGAAATATGTGATCCGCTCTGTTTTAACCGGATCTTTTTTTTATCCGTAACGCCTCGGGGACTAGGATGATACTCGATGTTTATGATATTCGACCCGCTGCATAATTCTTTTCCTTAAGCTCCTTTTTCTGTTGTTTTGCAGATTGAACAATTGCATAAGATCTACAAGCTATGTGGATCTCCACCGGATAGTTTCTGGAAAAGAGCTAAACTTACTCATGCAACTTCCTTCAGGCCTCAACATACTTATGAAGCTACTCTCAGAGAAAGATGCCACGAGTTATCAACGACTGGTGTTTTTCTATTAGAAACTTTACTCTCAATGGAACCCGAAAAGCGTGGGACTGCTTCATCTGCACTTAATTCCGAGGTGAAAGAAATATTTTCAAATCTCACATTGCTCCTTTTCTTTTACCTCTCAGTTTTTTTCTGATTATTTCTTTCATCTGTTAGTATTTCTTGACGAGGCCTTATGCGTGTGATCCTTCTTCATTGCCTAAATATCCACCAAACAAAGAAATGGATGCTAAATATCGCGAGGATATGCGCAGGTCGGAACCCCTCTCTTTACATGTATCCATTTTGTATGTTTCAAGTTAAAATCTTTAAGATTTTGAAAAGAATATACAAAAGGGAGAGTAAAAATAGAAAAAGAAAACTATTAGGCTTTTG